GTTGGCATGGATCCTGCTTCTCCAGCCCCTAGCCAGGCAGAAAATGTGCTTGCGCCTTGGCTAGAAGGTGGCAGGATTCAAATAGCTGACTAGCATCCCTAGAAGGCAGCGGTGAGGATGTAAAAGGGGTCCTTCCCTGCCCCAGGAAGCAGGGAAATACAAGTAGCGGAGACCATGTCCCATGTCAGCCAGCGCTGCCAGAAATCCTACCAGCAGTCAGCAACGGACCTGTGCAAGGAGGCTGGAGAGATACTAACGATGCCCTGGACAGCATCTGCCTCTCCCGTCCTTGGGATGAAGATTAGTGCCGGTGTTGTCCGAGACAGGTTAGCTTTCCCCTACATCTGTTGTAATGGGGGCAGGCTGGTGCCATCTGCATGGGAGTCATCCCACAGATGTCAACGAGAGGCCCTCAGCCAGGTTTATACAAGTAGGGATGAGAAGGGGCTTGGACTCACTGTGGTGTCCGGTGGAGCAGGAAAGGAGAGAGGGCAGCATGTAAGAAGGTCACCCCCAGAAGTGCCCAGTCAGAAAGATAAAGAAATCCGATTGAAATCCAAGCCCTGCAATTTAACGTTGGGTTTGGACTGAGCGATACATCTCCCAGGCTGTCGTCCTGCCAAGTCACACGGTGCCTGGACGCCCACGGCTTCTCACGAGCGTTTCCCTTTCACCTCGGCAGCTCGGACCGAAAGCAAAGCAGGCAAACTGGAAAGCCAGCGCTGCCGTGGCCAGTTTTTATGTCTGGCTGATCCCATTATCATGCTAACCTGATGCAGATGCACCAGCAGCTGAGCTGTTAGAGCATTATAATCCTGTGTATATTACGGTGATGCTGCTAGAGCTGCTAATTTGGCAAAATCTGGGTCCTAATGAAGATTTAGGCTATGGCCTTTTGCCACGTCATGCTTGCATGTTACAGAATTAGCTGTCTCGGAAATAACGGCTACAGTCACCAGAAATTTGCAACCAGCAGTTAAGTAGGATTCATCAAGTGCCCTTTGCATGTAGACTTGTTCCTCCTCTCTCTGGCTGCATCCATACAGTTAAATAATGCCATTGAGGACCCACTCCATGGTTTGAGGCCAGGTAGGGCAGCAGACCTTGCATCCCCAAGAGTGGATGAGACCACCACTTAATGGAGTTAATTTGGAGTTCTGCATTCAGTTCAGGGCTCCACAGTTCAAGAACGATGAGGAACTCCTAGAGAGAGTCCAAAGGAGGGCTACAAAGATGATGAGGGGACTGGAGCATCTCCCCTATGAGGAAAGGCTGAGAGAGCTGGGCTTGTTTAGCCTGAAGAAGAGAAGACTGAGAGAGGATCTCATCGAGACTTACAAATATCTTAAGGGTGGATGTCATGAGGACAGAGCCAGACTCTTCTCAGTGGTGCCCAGTGACAGGACAAGGGGCAATGGCCACAAACTGAAGCATAAGATGTTCCAGTTGAACATGAGGAAGAACTTCTTTACTGTGAGGGTGACAATGCACTGGAACAGGCTGCCCAGGGTGGTTGTGGACTCTCCTCCTCTGGAGATGTTCAAAGCCCGCCTGGACAAAGTCCTGTGCAACCTGCTCTATGTGAACCTGCTTTAGCAGAGGGGTTGGATTGGATGATCTCTGGAGGTCCCCTCCAACCCTTGCCATTCTGTGAGTTACACTGGTTGAGAACGCCTGTGTGCAAAAGCAGAAGAAACACCTGGATCCACAGCACACCACTGAGCTTTGCTTGTGAGCGAAGCTGTGTGCATGTCCAGCTGCTGTGGCTCGGTGGGTGTAGCCGATGCTAAGTCAAGTGCTGAAATGCATTAAGTGGGTGCTGCCATGTGGGTCTTGGGACACAAATAATATGGGCAAAAAAAAAAGTATTTTCCAAAAACATCGCCATGAACGTGAACTCACGCACTGAGCAGGAGTTACTTTCAGATGCAGCGAGCGCTTGTTTTTGTCCTTTTCCACAAATATTGCTGGTGGGGAGATGCTCCTCAGAAGGTCATGTGTAGAAAGCAAGATGGGCACAGATGCATACGATGATTTGGGCACTGCAAAGATCTCTCGCCTACCCTTGCAGGTGTTTTTTTCTTTGCAAGAACGAGAACTCTTTTTGTATACCAGCCCAGTATCCAGGATGTATATTCAGGTTGAAGATGTCCCTGTTCCCCTATAGGATCAGGGACACCTCTCTTGGTACCCCAGGAAGGCAGCTGGGTCTTTGGGGGCTGGACGTCGTGGATGAGGGGTGCCGTCACTACTGCCCACAGATGTGGTCATGCCCCCCAAGCCTAGGCATTCCCTTGAGTCAACCAGTCAAACAGAAATAATCCCAGGAGATTTAGGTGGCGATAACCAATGTAAATCGCAAGGACCTTCTGCTCATTCAAGGCTTTGATGGCCAAATACTTGCACTGATAACTTGCAGGCTGAAATTTGCTGGTATAAAGCGTTTGTGCAGCTACCAACTACAAATCAGGAAGAAATAAATAATAAATAGCTGGATGCTCACAGTTACTTTGGGAACAGAGAAAAGGATACATTTAAGCAAATCAATTCACTCACTTGTCCTCAAGTCTGTCTGAAAATATTCTCAAAGTGTCTCTCGGCGCTGCAAAAATTATCCCCTCTTCTCATTTACAAGCAAATGTTAAGAATTGAGAGATACATATTCCTCCCATCTTTAATGTTTTTTGGGGGGGATGTCGTCAGCTGTTCCGGCCTTCACCATTTCCCACTTATTTATCTACTCAGGCCTCCTTATTCTTTTTTTTTTTTTTTTTTTTAGGCTGTCGGCAGTCTGGCAGAGCCAGTATTGCAGAATGGCTTTAGGAAGAGGCAGTTGTGATGATCCAGCCCCAGGCTGAAGCCCCCACTGTACGGGGGCTGCTCTGTCCAGAAGCAGCAGCCTCACCCCCAGCCCGGGCCTCAAATTTAAAAAGAAGGAAAAAAAAAAAAGAAAGAAAATCTACTTTTATCTGTTCTGCTTTGAAGGGAAAAAGGATTACCAAGGCTAAATAAGCCATCTGAGTACTTAGCTAGCAAGCCTAAATAGTACCCTGATAGGAAGTTCTGGCAGAGAGCTAATTAAATTAACCCCCTTTGATTTATTAACAAGCAGAGCAACATATCACACAGGATTGTCCCACGAAACAAATGTGCTTTCTGACTCCCTTGGCTGCTCTGGCGCAGTCACCTCCTGGAAAACCCGGTTATGGGAACTCAAGTTTAATGAGACTCAATGGCTCGAAAAGGATCCCTGCCCACCGACAGAGATAGGCGCTGGCAATAATACACAAAAGCATGTTATTTTCCTTGCACTTCCCTAATTCCTTTTTAATGCCCAGGACGATCTAATGGCTAATTAGTAATTTCCTGCCCACCGATATGCAGATGAATGACAAGCAAAAGCCTTCTGCATGTTTAATTATTCTGTTGATTTAGAAGGCACTTTTCCCTCAGTGCAAGTTTCTCTCTGTGTGTGCTCTCATGCATCATGTATTTCATTATTTTTAGAAGCATGCTCTGTGCCTTTTTATGCTCTCATAGTTCCAGCATCCAGTAATTACCATGTTTTCTGTCCAGCAGACCTGATCCACCGGCAAGTGTAAATCAGGAAAACACTGCTGACTTTAAATGGAGTTAATCCAAGTTACACCAGACCTGGGACCTGACCTCTCCTCTTTTTTTTTTTTTTTTGGGGGGGCAGTGGGAAATGTTATTTGTGTGCTGGGACCCTCGTGAAGTAGCAGAATATAAGATTTAGAAAACTTCAGAGTGGTGAAAATCCAGATCGAAGCCTGCAAATGCACAGACGTGAATCTATTTATATCGCGAGCTCTACTTCTGCTTAACCCCTGCAGGGAATGGTAACTCTCTTTGCATATTTGATTTTTTTCTCCCTCAGTAAAACATAGTCTGCTTAATCTATTTGTGCTACTTTCGAACAGTTTCACTGGTGGGCTTCTTCCCTACGCCTTACATTTAGCTTCAGTATCCGAGCGCTCTTTTGTTAAATTAAGGCAATTAATAAATGGAGACGTTAAGCAATCAATTTTGCCTGCATATCTCCACAGCCTTACATATGACTGGCTGTAATCACAAGATAAATGCAATGTGCTGATGTATGGTAATGTTCAATAATACATTCTCCACCAGGCTCAATTCATCAGGGAGTTTCTGGAGGGGAGGCATTCGTTATTGGCTGTCTCCGGACCTCAAGGATAACATTTCTGTCCTTTCCATTGGCCGCCCCACTGCTGCAAGCCTCTTCCCGTCTTATTTTGATGATGAATATGAAGGCACGCTAAGCCGTGCCAGAGCGTAGCTCTCGCCGACTGCACTCCCTCCCCGGGCTGAAGGACTCAGGGGCTCCCTCGCCCGCTTCCCCTGCCCACCGCCTGCAGCAACAGCAGCAGCAGCCACCGGAGCAGCACAACG